TGCTACTTTAATTAAAAAAATTGGACTATATTTATATATTTTTATCTAATTTTAGTACGACTCTTGCACTTTACTTAGTTGTTCATTTACTTTATATTATGGCAGGGAGTTTTTGGGCCCATTAGTTTCCTTTCTGAACTAGTCCAAACAAAATTTTTCAATGTTGTATACATGGATACAAGTTTTTTATGTTTCAAATTTCCTAAAACAATTCCTGATAACGTAATAGTTACATTCAAAATATTTGTGTGTCATATTCTAGGCTATGCCAAGAAATGCTCCTGAAGTTACTCTATTTGTGTGCACACTACAGTTTGGTGAGTGAATCACTCCTTTAATTGCTCTACGTCTGATATGCGGGGTTTAAGGATTGTTGGCCCTCATCTGTGTAAGCAACAACTTACAACCCTCTATTTGGTAGTTGTTGGATTTCTTATATCCATCCACGTAGAAACCTGTGGATATCTATGAACATAAAAATATCGGCTACCTTAAAAGATTTTCTCTTCTATCTTTCGTCTTTGTCCCCATTTTATGGTTAAAGTTTACAAGATTTCTTATTAAATTTACGGGTTTCACATTTCTCACTTTTATTTGTGTGTAAGAAATAAAATTTATCTCCTACACACAAATAAAAATATATAGAGCCTATTTGAGCCTATGTGAATATAAGAGAAAAAGAAAAGAAAACATAAGCGTTATACACTTTTATGTATGTGTAGGAAATGAAATTTATCTCTTACAACACAAGAGATCGTAAATCCTAAATTTATATTTGTGACAAAAAGAAAAATATAAGACATAGGAATCGATGTTGGATTTTTTTATTTTTTATTTTTTATTTTTTGTATTAAAGACTAAGACACGTTACATAACCTTGGGCTTGTTGGGTATTTTCCTTTGAGAGCTAAGCAAATATCTCCTGGTTTGTTCTTAAAAAGCCCAAACTCCAAAGGCTGACAAAACCCAAATACATATATGAAAACAAAACATAATTGTCCAAGCCCAAAAGCTATACGAAATATAGAGACGCAAAAAAGGTATACAAATCCAAAAATTCAAATAAAATCAAAAGTAAAATAAATATAAAGAATTGCAGTTGCAGGTAAAAAATAAAACAAATATAAAGACTTAAGTGCTTCCACCTTTTGAATATGCAACAAACGGTTTCCGTAAGAAGTTTTTTTTTTTTTATTTTTTTTTATGGAATTGATAACGTCAAAGTGATAAACATTTTCATATAAATGTGTGTGATAAATGTGTCAATTGAGAGCTCTCATGAATTGAAGCTAAGTATGTGATGCGGAGTCCTATGGAGTGGGATACATAATACATTTATGAGATTCATGGAACGATATTCTAAGGCGAATGGTTTGTAATTCATAAAAAAATAAGTTAATCTGCAATATCTTCAATCCTCTGTCATTATTTATTTTTTTATTTTTAACTTTTTTGTGATACATTCAGATAAAACTTGAGTGATGTAACGCCCCGTTCTAGAACCGGTTTGTTAACATCGCATTATGATATTAAGCGCAGTTACAATCACATGGGTTCAATTAAAATCCGGATAAATTTTTCATTTTAAAACGTACCGAACTTATAATACCCAATTTCGTGATCATAACCAAATTACCTTGCGGAAACAGATAAATTAAGCTTAACATCATGTTCATTTTCCATTTTTAAACCTTTAATTTACTTCTTGTTTAGTTCAATACTTCTACTATATTGTAGGTTTCTTCATTAGCTACCTGTGGCTTCAAACCGTGCTCAAATCGGAGCACTGTAGCCCAAGTTAGGACAATTTGGAGCAACACAAGAGAGTGTTGGTCACAGGCCCAGCGCGCTTCAGCGCGCTACCGGGCGCTCAAGCGCGCGCTATCGGGCGCTAAAGCCTCCATCTGGGCGCTTAAGCGCACGGAGGCAGTAAGCATCAGTATTTCCAGTGTGGATGGGCGCTTAAGCGCGCAACAGGGCGCTCAGGCGCGCTAGCCTGGGCGCTCAAGCTCCCACTGGGACGTTTTAGCGCGCAGAGACAGAAGCATTTCCTCCTTCAGTGGCGAAGGGCGCTTAAGCGCGGACCAGGGCGCTCAAGCGCGCAACCCTGGGCGCTTAAGCCCCACCCTGGGCGCTAAAACGCGAGGGGGCAGTAAGCCACCCAACTTTCTGCAGCAAAGGGCGCTTAAGCGCGAGCCAGGGCGCTCCAGCGCGCAATCCTGGGCGCTTAAGCCCCCACTTGGGCGCTCCAGCGCGAGGAGGCAGAATGCATTGGCACTCGCAGGGGCAGCAGGGCGCTTGGGCGCGCTCCTGGGCGCTTAAGCGCGCTGCCAGGGAATTCCAATTCCCACATTTCTCAAGTCCAAGCCTAGGGGAAAATGCATCCCCATTACATATCCCAATTGTTCATGCCCCAAAACTAAATCCTAGCCTCATCCAACCTCTCCTCATGAGATTAAGCTAGAATTTGGGCAGCATGACCTTTGTTTTCTCATCGTTTACCAGTTTAAACAAAAGGGTACCTAATTGACTTTCAGCCCAACCAATTCAACAACTCAATACATAACAAGCATGCATATATGGAATTTCAAGTAGGCATCATTTACATTACATATCCTTTACAAATCATAGAACTTAGCTTACAAAACACTATGATCATTCCCTTGGCTCCCATCAACAAAAGGTGTAACCAAAGGCATGAGCATAGGCTAAGTTCATTCAATGAATCAAGGCATACAAATGACCAAGGGCTTTCAAAATAAACTCCTATACATGTCAACTACAAAAGGCATGCATAAACTCAAAAGGAATGCCACATCTCATGCATAATCCAGATATGGCCACTTGCCACCAGAGGCTCCTGCAGCATCCTTACCTGAAAGGGGGTCCCCACAACACGGGGTGAGATATACGAATATATCCAGTAAACCAGGGGTCCTTGGAGCATCTCTCCACCCCACAGTTCCATATCAGTGTAATAGCAATAACAATAATAATGCAGTAAATACATATCTATGCAAAGTGCAATACATCTCCAGGAGAAATCCCTCGAGCTCTCAAGCTGTCCTAAGGAAACTCAGATGCAAATAGTCCTACTGGCCAGCTAACTACCAAGTATGATTTACGCATCGTCATGCAACATACCACATAGGGAAACACCATCCTATGCCACACCAAATGCATACACATACGTATAACAAAGCATTACACTATTTCATTGCATTTATATACACTATAATTACCACTACCCTTTCAGGGCTTGGTGGAACAATCAAGGGAATTACACCCAAGGTCCGAAGGCTTACCTCAATGCTTCAGTCAACCTTTGTTCTTCACCAACAGTTTCAGCAATCAACTTTTACAAACATACACCTACACATGGTGTAATGCAATCAACACATTGCATCCAAGAGTATTTCACAATCAACCATCAATTACTCAATTCAAAGCACAACCCAAGTATGAGCTTACCAATTCCAATGAGCTATTCAAGCTCCATAGCTTGCTCCAATGGTTGATCACTCACGGTTGGTCCAAATGTCTCAATCCTAGACATCACAAGGACCCAATCAATCATTCAACTCACTAATTGTTCAACACGCTAGAATACTAACTAATCCAAGCATGAATTTTCCAATATTATGAACAATTATCAAATGATTATCTAGGCTCATTTCCACCGATTAAATGACATTCCTAGCATTTTCCATAACATGCTCTAAGCTCCATTCTTCCTAGAACATAGCTAATTCAACTACATTTCATAAAAATCCCAATTTACTATTCACAAACCCTAACCCATGCAAATTTCAAGGAATCATGAGGTTCAAGGGTTTAAATCTTACCACCAATGGTTGCACAACAATGATGGGAGTGTTCCTCAAGCTCCCATGGAGGTAGAAACTCTCAAAACTCCAAAACCTCACCAATGGCCGAATTTTTGAGAGCCAATATCCCTCTCCACAATGCTCCCCACTCAAAACAAAGCTAGGATTATGAAAGAGGGCGAGATTCTAAGCGATTTGGGCTTTTGAATCACCCAAAACCGTTGGGATTTGCTCTCTCTCTCTCTCTTTCCCTTTTCTTCTTCCCTCTCTTCTCCCTCTCTTCTCTTCTCCTTTCTGGTTCGACGGGTTGGGTGGGAAATGAGGGGTTCTTTTTGGTGTTTTACCACTTAACATTGGTTAAGTGGTAACATGTGGGTATTGGTTCGTCTATCTATTTAACTCCAATGATTTCCAAACTTTACCCAAAAGTCTGGAATATTATTCTAGGAATATTACTATTTTTATTTTTATATTTTGGGCACTTTCGTCAGTACCCATTTATACCCCTTAATTTTCACTGAGTACACTTTTTAACTCCAAAGTGACTCAGATTCATTTTATTAAGCCTTATACTTAATTTCACTCACTAAAACATGTTTAATTAATTAATTACACTAGATTTACTAATTAATTAAGTTGGGCTATTATAAGTGAAGTACTATACTTACATTCATGTAAGTTGTAACTACAATTCACATAAACATATCCCTTGAGTTCCAAATTTTTATTTAAGGAAAATTGCTTGTCCTGCTGATGACTCTTCTGTTATCTCCCTACTTAATAGCTCATTTGTGGGTGTCTATTTACCTTGTGTGATTGAGATTGTAAGAAATTTGACGGATGCAATCTCAAACGTGTCTATTCCTTTTTTAGGTGAAGCAGGACTGGTACATTTCATGTGTTAGAATGAGCAAATGACACATATATTCTGACTCAAAAAATATGTAAAGCAGAGTTTTTTTGACTAAAAGTTGACACAAACAATTTATTTAGGAAATATAAATGGGCTAACTTTTAAGATTCCTTCTCGAGTTTTCTCTACTAAAACTCGTTACACAAAGTTCAGTATAAACTTTGCAAGATATGAAACTATTGGAACCAATAATGATAATAAAATAAGCTCTAAAGAAGACTAGACTAAATAATGACTATAGTCTACTACACTTCTTCATGCTACTTAGACTTCCAAGTCACTGCTATTGGGCTTCTAACCTTGTAAGAACCATTTTGTGAGTGTACCCATGTCAAATGCCCATCTGCAAAGGTCATAATATCATCACCCTTTTTAGCCCTCTTTCTTGATAGAAACCATACACTGTAACTCAAGCTTTGGTTTATTTGTTTAAATACCAGTCTCTTGGGTTTCACTATCACTTTCACTCCTTCAGGTGCCATAACCTCCACTGAGTAGATGGAGTCAGGACTTCCCACATTTGTTAGTCTCCTGCTGAACATCTTTCTCCTCATTCCATCCTTAAAAGTTACTGAGAATGAAGGATAGTTAAGGCTGAATCCTCTATTCATCTGCATGATTGCATGGCAACTAACATTTCTGTGAGTGATACTGAATATTTCTGAACTTGTATATCCAATGCTGCAAAGATGTGTAACATAGTCATCAGGCCTAATGTCATATATAAGTCCTGGATTTAATGCTCTTTGTGGATTCACATTTCCTGCTCCTATGGCAAAAGCATCAGCTGGTTTATCTTCATCTAGAATTGGACTTCCTGTGTGGTCAGTTATCTCAGCTGTTGTCATGATTGCAGATTTGATAGCTGCAGGGGTCCAACTAGGGTGAGCTGAACGAATAAGAGCAGCAATTCCACTAATATGAGGACATGCCATTGAGGTACCAGACATGACAGAGAAATTCACTCTTCTAGAATCCTCTGGAAGACCTGTAGGACCAAGGTTCTGAGGCCATGCAGCAATGATGTTCACTCCTGGAGCTATAACATCTGGTTTGAGGATTGAAGGGTTTGAAAAACTTGGTCCTCTACCTGAAAATCTTGCTACTGCTGGAGCTCTAGACTTCCCTATTACAGTTCCTCCAAATTCAATTCGAGCAAGAGGCCTCGTTGTAGAGTTTATGTAAGCTTTCAAGGTGACTGATTCATCAAATCCTAACAAAGTTGCTGGCAAGACATGAACATCAACTGAATCCTCTTCCAAGTTTAGCTCTGTGTTTGCCAAGATCATAGCAGCACCACCAGCCTCCTTCACAACTTGGCCTTTTTCTGCTCTTCCATTGATACCTCGATCACAGACCACCATTTTGCCTTGAACTTTGTCCCTTGGAAGAGACCCTCTAAGGCAAAATTGACTCTCCATTTCTCCATGAGTCAAATAAACCAGCTCAAGTTCTTTGTCATTGCTCATTATTCTGTTCATTGGGTACATGGATTCTCCATAGAGAACTTGTCCATTACCCATGCGAACTAAAGCTGGGAATTTCCTATCTAGTGTGCTTGCACCAACAGTAGCAATCCAAGGAGCTTCATTGGCAACAGACATTGCTATTGGGCCATTGTTTCCTGCAGCACATATAACTGAAATCCCATGCTCCATTGCTCTAAAGCTACCAATGGCAATACTATCATCATAAAGAGGCACTGGGAAGCCACCAAGAGACAATGATAGAATGTCCACACCATCTCTGATTGCCACATCCAATGCAGCCATGATATCAGAGTTATAGCAGCCATTGAACCAGCAAACTTTGTAGATTGCAATGTGAGCACCAGGAGCCATTCCTCTTGCCACACCAGCTGCATAACCAAAAACACTTGCCATTGGCACTGCAACTCCACCAGCTGTGGAAGAAGTGTGTGTGCCATGTCCAGATGAGTCTCTTGGAGAGAGATATTCTGGAATTCTTGAAGGTGATACTGCAAAATGGCCTTTGGTAAAGTACCTTGCACCAATGAGTTTTCTGTTACAATTGGAAGAGTTAAAGGCTTGTCCTGCTTGGCATTTACCCTTCCATTTCTTGGGAATTGGAGGCATTCCGTGATCATTGAAGCTAGGACTCTCTGGCCACACTCCAGTATCAAGCACCCCAATTATGGTTCCCCTGCCAAATCCAGATTGAAACCAACCATTTTCTCTTGCGGGGTTTAATCCCAAGAACTTGTAAGAATATGTGGTCTGAATCTGGAGCTTTTGGTCTGGCCTAATTGAGATAACATCAGGTAACTTTTGTAGGTACTCAAGCTCAGACTCAGTTAGCTGAGCTGCAAAACCGTCCATGGCTGAACGGTAAGAATAGAGGAGGCGTGAAGAAGGGTCCTCATCTGAGGAAATGGTTTGTTGTATAAATGAAAGATGCCATTTGAGTTTGGAGGTGAAGATAGAGCTGGTTATGGCATGAGGGTGTAGCTGAACTATGTAAGTTTGAAGAGTTTTTGCATGGGTGGTAAGAGTGAGGAGGAAAAGGGTGAAGAAAAAGAGTTGAATTTTGGATTCCATTGGTTGTAGTAGTAGTAGTAGGAGGAGGAGAATGTGTTGGTTGGTGATGTGGGGTGCATGATCTCTTGGAGGGGTATTTGAAGGTGTTGGGAAGAATTCAAAACTGAACTAGGTAAGCGTTCTTGGTCTCTCAGTGAGGAATATGAAGCTCGTGAAATATAAGAGCTCTTCATCACGAGGATCCTTTGTTGAGAGAGAGAGAGAGAGAACAGGGAAACTGAAATTGACTTGGAATTGAGGAGCTGAGTAGATTGCTGTAAGTGTCACGAGATGTTTTACTTAGCTTTAATAGAAGACTTAAGGAACCGTTAGTTTCAAATTCTGTGAAATCTTTGTTTTTTTAGTTCTCACTTTGGTATCACTGGTATGTTCAACCTCTATCACTGAAATGATACTCTAATCCTTGTTTTTTGTTTTTACTCTTTCCTTTTACATTATTTTTTGATAGCAAAAAGGGAGAAAGAAAAACTCACATTCTCCATTTTTTATCCCATTCTCTCTTGCTTTTCCTTATAAAAAGTTAGTTTAATCATTAATGTAAAAGAGAAATATAAAAATTCAAGTATACAAATAATATTGCTTACTCGAAAAAACATTTATCTTTCAATTTACCATTCAATCATTCAACGTTTGTTCGACTCTGCATTCATTTATTAAACAAGTACGCTCTAGATTTGCTATGTATGGCTCCCTCTCCTCTGCCTCTCGTGCGGGGTGTACTAATAATGGTCGGTATTATGGAGTTTATCAATAAAAATTTCAAATTTTAGAGTAAATGATATATCCTCACGTTTGTGCATGCTACAATTGTTCGTTGAGACAACTTTTGAATTAATGTCCATTTTTTCATGCATGAAGGAATTGTTACATAATCATTACCTAAATTAATATTCTCTCTCTAGTTGCATGTAAATGATGATATATGATAACTATGATTTTTGACATGTTAAAAGTAGCATAGCTTTTGTCTAAAACTGTCCACTTTGTACAAGAGAGGCTTCAGATAAAGATTCACTTTATTGAGTTTGTTCTAAGTCAGGTATTCAGAAAATCCATGATTGGGAAATCGGTAATACAAGCCAAGAGTTCACAACGAGGCCTCAATTTGTGGTTTATAAAACAGGAAAGTAACCTTAATATATAGACTTCAAAAGTAATGTTTCAATGCACATAATAATCATTAACAAAGGTAAATAATAAAGACTAGAGAGCTAGATCAATTAATGCAGAACTGACTGTTATGAAGAGGCATTGGCGTTACGTTAGCCCCTCATGGATTACATGAGGGCTAGCGATTTTCTTTTGCCAAGGCTCTGCTACATGCCAGAGGTCCAGCTCAAAACACAGCAATTCATGCTTCTTTTATTCAACCGTTTTTGTCAAGGGATACATGAGTATCCAACCTATTGGTCTTCTAGCATCTAAAGCCTAAAAAACAGTGTTTGTGGTGGGTCCTCGACGAGAAAGTAACTAGCAAAGCAACAAAAAATTTCTACTCGTCGTTTTCATTGTCCCTACCCAGAATGAAGTTGCTGATGTCAATTTACTTTTCTTATTTCCAATGGTTTTTCATTAGAAATAGTATTATCCAATGACATGGTATGGCAGCTTTATCCGACCTTTGGGGCTAGTATCCCGGTAACCTTCCCCACCCCACTTCCCTCGACCAGAAAATTGTAACTTCACTTTTGCATCCTGTCAAATTATTCATAGGAAATACAAAATTGAGATGATTTTAAAGGATGTAAAATTGTGTCATTCTAACGGAAGTAAAATTATGTCATTTTAAGTGAAAGAAAAAGATAAATAAAGAGAGAGAGAATATACAAAAAAAGTTAAAGGTATGGATCCCATCTCTTTATGAAAATAAAATGACACAAATTATATCATTTAAAAGGACAAACGCTTTTCTCTACAAAATAACATGCACATAATTTGAATTCCTTAGCGTCAAGGTTAAAGAGCCAAAGAATTAGATATTGACATCAAATTACAGATGATTATACTAATCATATAAAATTATTGTCTATAAATAAAGATAGGGTTCGCTTTTTCTGCAATTATTACAGATAAGTTATTTGTAGTAAACCCAATACGACGTCGTTTTGGGCGAAAATCATAGTATTTTTGTTATTTTAATTTATTTCAGGATTATAATAGTCTTTATATTTATAATTTTTTAAGATTTTCATACCAAAATGACGTAGTTTTGAAAATAAATGCAGATAACTTATCTGCAGTAATTGCAGAAACATTTTTTCCATAAAGATATGTATAATTAATTATGATTTTGTTAGTATTGCACTAAATTTGCGCACCTTTCTTAAAATCACTTTCTACATAGGTTCTCTATCATTTCTTCTATTGCATGGTGTATAACATCACCCTGTACAGCAATGAACGAAGACGACAAAAGGAAGGAAAGGAAACGCAGACTCAAGACAGGCAGATAAGGTTTTCTTAAATCAACTAGACAGGACAAACAGAATGCTAACACTGCCAAATGCTCACTGCTCAGCATTGCCATGTAAGCAAATCCATCACAGTATGATATCCCACCCAGAGTCATTCCAAAAAATTGACAAAGATTTATCTGTGAAGAAACTCCTGGCATTTATCTCAAAAGAGGATTAATCTCAACATCATTGAAGTTCACTTCTCATATCCAAAGAAAGAAATGAACTCTTAATTTCTCTGATAATTCTATGGCTATTTCTTTTTGGTACCTTCAATTGTTCCCGGTCAATAATAGGGGAATGTTGCTAGCTGAACAGATATCACAACAAAAGAAATCACAAAATTCTCATCAATTTAATGAATCAAAGGGGTATATTTCACTGTGCCCAAAGTATTTTTTGGACCAAAATGAAAACAACAGAAACATGAATCATATAAACCAGAAGTAACAATTGTCAAAGAAACAGCCAATAATTTTAGGTAGTTACATGCTATAACTAGCTGCACAAGGCAACCAATTCAACAGGTGCATGCCTGAACAGTAAACAAATGTCACTCAAACTCACTGTGCATGTATGATTTTAGCTATAAAAAAATAGGCAAACAATCAAACAAATGGAAAAAAAAGAGAAACATTTATTTTCACGATCTTCAAATAGAATGTTGGCCACGATTCAATAAGGTCACTAAAACATACCCAAGCAGCCCTAATGCAGCTGCCAAATGATATAGACCAATCAAGGGAACACTTGAAATGATCATTAACCATAAATTTGTTTACATTTCCTATATGAATCAAGTGGACAAAAATATTGTATCAAAGGAATTATTAAACGTTGGAAAATACATCTACGAACCACTAAGGAGAATAAATAATGCAGAAATCAGAAGAAGAAAAATCTATATAACAAAACTGTAGAAAGCAGAGAATATCTATCCAAGCTGGGGGGTTTCAACGAAGGGAAGCCTGCTCAATAAATCGAATACAAGTTCTGCTGCATGTTCATAGCAGGACCCCGGCAATAATTATTTTACAGCAGTAATTCTTCCCTAATTCGGGGAAATCATTTGAGTCTGCTTTAAACCACATTTCAGAAACCTGCAGGTGCAATTTTTACCTCCTCTTCATGAAACATGATTTCTTTGCTCATTTTTCCAAGAATTTTTTGCAGCTTCAGCAGAGGAATCACTGGAATCTCCATTTCCATCCTTCGGTTTGGAGAAGAAAGGATCCCATTCATGAGGTCCGACCTCACGTTGTCCCTCCTCCAACAATGCATATTTCCAACTGTTTTCCTCAATGAAGTTTTCATCAGTACGACCTTCAATAATATCCTTCCTCAAATTGGTAACCTTGTCAATCAATGCTTGAACAGAAACATCAAATGCATCTTTAAGAGTTTCTAATTTAGAGCGAGGATCTGCGTATACTAGTTTTGGAATGAGACTAATGACCTCCTCTCTCATTATCTTCACTTGCTCCGGAGGTATCTGACTCAGCCTCTCCTCTATAGTAACATTCCTCTTACGAATATCGTCCTCGGGAATGAAGACAGAATACTTGGCATAATCCTTAGGAAGATGCCAAGTATACTGTGTATATGCTGAACCTGGATGGAAGAAGACAGGTATACAACCGGCCAACATTGAATCAAAAGCAGATCTTCTAGTGTACGAATCACCCTGAGGTTGAAGGCAGAAAAGGGAGCTCTGAAACATCTGCATTATGCTGCTGGGAGAATGACACTTGCTTTCACCAAAATCACACTCCAACAGCTTACCAACCTTTGAACTCTTGCATTGGTCAATTATCTGTCCCCTGATTGATTTGGGGTTGTCAGGACGTGGAGCTCCAGCAAAGGAGAAAAGCCACCTCCTCTCTAACCTCCTCATCCTCTCCTGCCAAACAAACACATCATCATCTTTTGCAGGGTGAAAGTATGTAGGATAAGGAATCCCAAAATCATTGGCATTCCAGGGACTTGATTCCACCACAAGCATGGACATATTCTTAGCAGCAGGCAAAAACAGAAGCTTGTTTCCCCAATCCGATTCTTGCTCAGATAATCTCCTGAAATCCCATGTTATCCTCCCTGCAACAAGAAAATGGTCTTTCCCATTCATAATGCTCCACTCGGGCCTCTTCATGAGCCAATCAACCAGATCAAGCGAAGCTGCATCCCTCATTGAGATATTATAACCCCAAAGATAACGTGCAATGTCAAAGCCAGCATAGAAGGGCACAAATATAGCAGCAGCAATAGATGAATCACGAGTCAAACACTCATACTGCTTCATCCTGTTACTGAATATCACATCAACAGCAAACTGATTGGTGGCATACCACCCAGTATCAGAGAAGACACCATCCACATTCTCAAGTGGTGGACCAAGGCCAGCATTGGTGGTGAACTTGCACATGTTGGTCCAAAGACTCAAACTTTTACACTCCTTCAACATATCTTCATTGAACCTGGAGGGAAGATCATGCACATAAATATACCTTCCCCCACATGGATCACTCTTGTTCTCAGCAGTTCTAAGTGCTCTCATAAAGGGGAAATTATTTACTGGAGGGGTTTGCACCTGCACCTCCACCTGCACCTGTTCCTCAGGGAACCCAAATTTCTTCCTTGGAGGACTCTGGAATAGCGGTTCAGGGGTTTCAAAATTGATTGGAACTTGGTTTAACTTGTTGGGTTGATCACCAAGAACAACGAAATGGAAGTACAAGAGCAACAACCAGAAGAATGCAGAGAGTGATGCAAGGAAGCAGATCCGTGAATTCTGATTCTTCACTGTTCCTTTCTCCATTTGATCCGGTAGAACGCCCGCCACTTGGCGCCGTCTCATTTCATTCCAATCGCGAGCTCGATTGAACAATCGCGAAATTCCCAATTCATGGGATCAATCAAAACCCTAGAACTAAGGAAGGGTATTAATAAACAACGAGGAAAAAAGGAGGGGGAATCACGAGGAAGTAGTAGAATGGGATAAATCAAACGTGGTTTGTAGCAAAGTTGCGAGTTTTAGACAAATCGAGATTGGATCAAGAAGAAGGAATATAGGTAAGAGAGATTGAGAATTTGGAAGGAAAACGAGAAAAAATGAACGAGAGAGACGGGGTGCACGTTAGCAACGTGCGCGCGCTGGCAACTGTCGCTTGTCGGTGGCCTCTTATATTCTGACATCTGGTGTCACGTGTCGGTTTTGCATAAATGTAATACACTACATTACACTGCACTCTTCTGCGTTACATTTTAATTTTACTCATTTTTAGTAATTATTTATGAAGGAGATTATATTTATTATTGTTTTTTATTATTAACTTTATTATTATTGAATCAAACTTAATATTATTTTGTAATTGTTAATTTAATTCTGATCAAACGAAAATAAAGTTGATAATAAAAGAAAATAAGAAAAAATGATTATCCCATTAATCAAAATCAAATTAAGGACTCAATTTAACCGTTTTGATCAATGAAATAAAAAAATGGTAAAAAATCGTAAGAAAAGAGAGATTGTGAATATAATGGACCTGCCCGAATCGAATTAGTTGCGAAGCAATGAACTGATTGACATATTTTCCTTCCCTTTTAATTTCAAAGTTTTCGAATAACAATGCATATCGTATATCATTTGGACGATTTTTTTGTATCATGTACCGAAAATTATATCGAATAATAAAATACAAAAATATAATAAAAAATAATTTAAAAATATATATTAAATTATTTATTTAGTTATTTCCTTTATTAATGTAGATTTTTTAGATTGATTTTTGATTTAAACTCAAAAAATAAATCTTTATTTCTTTTTATTTTATATTAAAAATATAAAACAAATTTGTAGCGTATATTACACTATACGTATTGCATTGTCCGATACAAACCTCTTTTCGGTACATCCCACGATATATATAGCTGCACTTGTGAATCGTATTGTACGAATATAATGGTCTGTTAGGATGTCTCAGCTGCATACATCACTGTACTTTCACTTTGTAATTTATAAGGAATATTACATGTTTCCTTATATATATGTTTTCTCTTTATGCATCGTCAGTGAGAAATAAGATGGAAAGAAGTTAATGTTATTTAATTAATACATATTGATGATAATAACAGTAAAGAAAATTATATAAACATCTACCAACATTACTTTATAGATAATGTTACGTCAGATACAAAAAGGAGTTACTTTACATAGGTCCTACAGTCTACTAAATATTACACCACTTCAGTTTATATCATACATACTGTCATCACATAATTATACAATACAAAAGTCTTATCTTAATCTAGTCTATAGGTGTAGGTCTCCACACTATCAGCATAGAATATCGAAACAGCTCCTTGATTTTCTACTGATATAAAACTCCATACGGTCCTCATAAGAGTAAATATTGATACTCCATCCTTCACCTGCTTAGCTTAGAGTAGGCATTATGATTTTCTGAAAAGGTTAGCACAAAACAAACACACGTGAGAAAATTCTCAGTAATATTGAGGTTTTCTAACTATAACCATTTCCAGCCGTAATAACGGAAAATACCATTCTCTCAGATAATTTAATAAAAATAAAATAATATAATAAATAATACATTGTGTAATATTTAACTGAAGCTAGATAATTTCCTAACTTTGTGGTCTTCTGCATATGAAAGATTTATTGTGGTGGAGCTCAAACCACGATAAGTCGTCTCTTACCCTATAATTGTCTGAACCCAAACTCTATGGTTCAGTTCATAGCAGTCTTCATCAGTTAAATTTACATATTCTCTTTATAATTATTTGGTACCAAATAACGAATCAAATTAACAATCAGAAGACAAATTTAAAAGAAAATAGAGAAAATGTAGAAGAATGAAATCAAAAACTAAACTACTGTAACAAGTAAAATCAAGGAATATTAAAAGAGAAGAATTTAACAAAACGACAGTAGCATAAAAATTCATATCACTTGAAAATAAGAAGGAAAATGAGAGAATATATAAAGAATAGAGTTCGGTAAGATGACAGAAGTATTAAACTTAAACATCGTTTTCCCAACATGTTTGAAAAGGACACGAGAGAATGTTTTTTTTTTGGAGTTACCCAACCCTAATTACCTCTTTGAGGCGAGTTGGCTCCCCCCGGTATCCCCACAAGCTTCGACTCTTTGAGCCGGTTATGAGACTAATCCGGAGTGCGGGGGTCAGTGATGGCTAAAGGTTCAGCCCTCTCCCCAAGAATGCATTCAGCGGGAATCGAACACATGTCCAACCCCACTAACTCAGCGCCAAGGAACCAACTGAGCTGCACTCATTAGGTCGAGAGAATGTTTTTAAACCTCTCAATATTACCTTCTGTTTCGTCGCTTTTCTTCTTTTCTTTTTCTGTTGATCTCTCTTTCTCTTTCACTTCTTATTGATCTCTCTTTTTTTCTTCTCACCGTTCTCTCTTTCTTCCTATGTACAACGATGTATATATATAAAGAAACTTGCTTACGTTATATTTCGTTAGATTCGAACGTAACTAGTAACTAAGTAATCATTACTATTCAAATAATAACTAACCACGTAATACATTTCTAGAAAGATTCTCGTAAACGTTTATCAGCTGCTTCCACGTTACCTGTTTACGTAATAAATTTTATTTAGTTTCTGTAATATATTTATACATAATTTTACTTTTTTATCAATTATCATATTATTATTAGTATTATTTATTTTATTATTAATATATTATATATTATATACATTTATCTTAATATTTAATTACTTATTTCTTTTTATTATTATTATTATTATCATTATTATTATTATTATTATTTTACATATACGTAAACATATATATATATATATATATATATATATATATATATATATATATATATACGTTTACGCGCTTCGCGTTAAATTGACGCGAACGGCGTCTACATATATCCTCGTCTGATACATATCCACGCCCTTCGCGTAAGAATTGACGCAACTGGCGCCAATTTTGTTACTCTTAGCGCTACCGGTGTCGTTCTAGTAATTTTTTTTTTTCTGGTTACTTTGGCGCCACTTGCGTCAATTTTTTTTTTTAATTTTGAATATTACACACTTGACACCTATCGTTAACAAGAAATGGCTCGTTGCCCGATACTGATAATTATGTTTAAATTAGTTCTTATTATGATGACATGTGGCATCTTCACACCATCCTATGTTCAAGCAGCGATTAACTTCTCGTTTTTAAATCTCTTGTACTGCTATAAGGTATACTTACGGCATGTTTAATACATAATATAGAATAAAGTCTGATAGTATAAGATTTGATTGTATAAGACCTGATTAAATTTTAATATAATTAAGTGTTTGACATGGTATAAGATAATATTATCTTGTTTTTAGTAATGAATGTATAATTTTATATAGGATAAAAATAAATATTTTTGACAAAAAAACCTTTTAATTTTTTTATATAATTCTTTCAAATATGTCATATGATATTAATTTTTATAGAAATCTATTGATTAATGTGTTCAAAAAATATATTAAATTTTATAAAAATAAAAATCTTCAATATTTAAAAAATTTATATATTGAAAAATTATTTTTTATTTTAATATATTAATATTAAAATAATATATTAATTCTTGAGAAGTGCACTGATTAATACATCAAACCCTTATCAAGCCTAATCTCCCCTAAGCTTGATTAAGTTATACATCATTTTGATGTATAAAGGGAGCCTACTGTATAAACTTATATTATATGATGTTCATAATAAAAAATATTATAACGTACAATATAAACTTATACTATCAGACTTTATACGTTATACCAAACACGCCATTATCAGCTAAAGAGAGGATTTAGATTTATTGTAGGATATTAAGGGATTAAAGTGAATATATAAATTTAAAATAATACTTACTTCATTTTATTACGAACGTAATACTTACACAATGTATGATACATCTTATTGGATTAAATTTAAAATAATAATTATTAATAAAAAAATTTGGTAAACAATTATTAATAAATTTAATTCAAATATAAATTCATATTAATATTTGAATTAACATTTCTCAAATATTGATATAAATTTAATTCAAATATAAATTCACAAAATATTTAATCTTTTGAGAAATGTTGCGACCTATTTTGTCTTATAATTTTTTTATAATTATTTTTATATTATTAAATAATCAAAATGAAATCAATGATTAATAAATAATATTAAATAAAAAATTATTAATTTGATTTTATCATATGATAAAAAATAATTATAAAAAATTAAAAGGTGAAATAGAGTCTTAAGTATAAATTCCCTGTACTATATGGGTCATGTTGCACTCTCTTCTGGTTACTAAAATGTTTTTTTTCTTCTAAAATCAATAATGCTGCATTAGCCCTAGCCCCTAGGATTCATATTAAGAATCTTTTCCATATATCACAGGCCGAACGCGCCTGAGAAAGGGGACAAGTGGCTAGATTAATACACCATACATTAAAAGTAGTTCCGCTCCACTAATCACTCTCTTGAAATTCACACATCAAAACCAAGAGCCGATGAAATGACACATCATGCTCACTAACAATTCCTTCAATTACGCCTATAATTTAGGTCTGCTTAAAATCCATGGACCATGAGACCTTAGACGTAGTTAGATGCTTCCTCCAACCTACATCAAAAGTTTTCTTTCCTATTGGCTAAAGAGTCATTCATACGATTGTCCCATTTAAATTGATGAAAAATCTCACATTTATTATCCCAAAAAAATAATAAAAAATCTCACATTTAAGTTTATTTGGGAGTGTTGAGAGCAAATAAAGCAAGAGAAATCCACGTCAATTACTGCACATATTTTATCATCTTAAAAAAATTAAAATAAAGTCAAAATCAATAACAAAAAATATATAAGGTATGTTTGATTTTTGTTTTTTAATTCTCAGAAAAAAATATATTTGTTTTGTAAAAATAATTCTAAAAAATATAATTATTTTTTAGT